ATGGGTAAGCCATCAAAGTTAGCTCAAACAGAGGATGTCCTTCAAGAGCTGGGCATCTCTTTGAATAGTTTAGGTACAGTGAATTACAATTTTCAATGCAATCAACTTCAACATGTGGAAGCTATGGTACATCCAAATATTATTTGATAGACAGAGCTTGGCAACCCATACGGAGATTAAGTATATCTGTCTTCCGTCTAAGAGCGTCAAGGTGAGAAGTAATAATCCACCAGTAGCTTCACCAAGCGGTCTGATTAAAAAGCGGAAATCAGTTTTAGTGAGTTGATTAGTCGACAGATAGGACGACGAAATAGTGCTAGGTGACCCACTGTAGCACGCTGCGTCTCGAAGAGTGACAACAACGACATCAGCGAAGTATAAACTGGACGCTAAACGCAGAAAGCAAACCAATCCGGCATCACCGATGAGGGCCAACTGTTGCAGTGTCTGAAAATCTGCGTGGAATACGGTCGATTTGGACGATGAGCAACAATGGATCCAGTGCCAGAAATGCGGGAGACGAGCACACAGCAGTTGCGCTGCTTACAGTGAAGAGGAAGCATACGTTTCTGTGCATTGCCTCACTCGATGAGCGTGGACGTCAAAAGCCCAAAGTGACTGACAACGGCCCTTTCAGGGCCACGCCAATTTGATTTATTTATCTTTGGGTTATGAATTCCGTTCAAGGACATAGATATCGGTGTACGTTCCATTTGAAATTGGATTTTGTGGAGGCATTACCTACTTCGTTGTCGAGCCAATTCCAAGGTGGAATGACTCCGTGGATGGGAGCAAATTGGCAGATTAATACACGGGTATGCAGTTGGAAGAGTTTAAAGCTACGCCACCGGAGTTTATCAATAGTATTGCGGACGAAGTATTCACAGACCCCGTCGTGAAAGTCAGTTTGCTTTGTTTCGTATTCGTCGATGATCTTAGGCTGAGAGTTTCAGAATAGTATTTAGAAGAGCTTTTGACGGTTATATAGAATGTGCATTTCCTAAAGATTGGATATGGGTACGTTTCCCTCCCCAGAACTCGTTCATTTATATTAGCGATTATTAATTCAATTTTTAAGTTAAATAAATTTTCCATTAGTTTTTGGTCCTTGGTTGCGTTATTGAAACCTGCGTTTTGTTGTGGGTCTTTAATAAGCGAAATAATTGTTGAGCGACAGTGGTCTCCAGTTGGGATTTCTTTCATAGCTTACAGAAGGGGATCGATCAAATGACCTTGAACTTCTTGAATCAAGCCGCGTTTGGATGCTGCGCGCTTACCCTGGCCGGGATGCCAGCCGGACCACTGACCTTACATTTTAGGGAATCAGTGCAAACTGCTAGGCTACCCCCGGACTGGCGCACAGCTACTGTAGTAGCATTGCTAAAGGTTGGACTAAAACATAAAACAGAAAACTATAGACCCGTTAGCCTAACGTCAGTGCTGTGTAAGTCCCTGGAACGACTGATCAGAAGGCCGATATACCTACATCTGACCAGCAATCGACTTCTGACACCGACACAGCATGGCTTTGTGCAACGGAGACCATATCTTACGAATCTTGTGTTCCCAAATGAAGTCACTGAACGCATGGATGTAGAGAAAAATGTAGAAGTCCGCTACTTATACTTTTGTAAAGCTTTTGACTCTATCAGCCATCGATTGTTGGACTTGAAAGTTCGAAGCCTAGGCATAACAGGTAGAGCCAGGGACTGGATTGTAGCCGTTTTGAGTAATCGCACCTTCCGGGTCAAGGTGGGTGACTATATTTCTAACCATCTGATGGTTACAAGTGGGTTCCCCAGGGCTCAGTGCAGGGCCCCTTACTTTTTCTTATATTCATCAACGATCTGGCACAGGATCTTCAAAATCCGTGTTTCATGTTTGCTGATTGTTGTGGCCGGCAGTCGAGTGATGTGCCCTTCACGTGATTGCCCGTTGCGGCCCTCCACCACATACACACGCACGCACCTCATGCGGACTTGGTTGCAAAGTCGATCCACCTCAGTGAATCAGAGGTCACCCCAGGTTGGAAAAACGGGCCAACTTCTTCGCACACAGGGTTATACCTATGTGGAACAGGTTACTCACAGAAGTGGTCAACCACGCCAATGTTAACGCCTATAAGGTGGCCCTGTACGCATGTTGGTGAGCAATGTTCCCCGTATTTAGAGTGAAGACATGAAAAATAAATTCCACTTTGGCCGAAATTTTGTGAAATTGAGTAAACTCGGGCTTGATCGTTGGAATTGTTCTCAAACTGACTGTCCTGTCACATGTGATCTGTGTATACGGACGCATGTTTACTTGAAATGTCTAACCAGTGAGGCGAGATGTCCTCGCTTATGTTCCTCCCTTTCAGCATACCTTCAAGAAGACAAGGTTCTGGATACCGGGCTAAATTGAGAGGATCACAAATACGAAATCAAGTGTATGCAGTGTTGGAGGCCACTCTCATCCGCCGACAACACACCGAACTGTATACTCCATTGGCAAGAGCCATATTCGTCCTGTTCAAACTAAACTGAACGCTCTCCGCCTCTGAATTGGACATTGGGCATAATATAAGGCTAGGGATGAACTATTCGGGATAAGGGCTACGATGTCCTGCTGAATCCCGCTGTATAAGGCTATCGTCCGGACACATCTGAAGTATTGTGTCCAGGCATGGGCACCATACTTACAGAAGGACCTAAATTGCCTGGAAAGAGTTAAACGGCTAACCACCCAAATGTCATTTGGTCAGAATCACAAGAATTACGAGGACAGACTCAAGGACTTAAATTTGTTTTCCCTTCGACGCAGACGCATGAGGAGTGACTTAATTGAAATGTTCAAAATAATGAACGGTTTGTCGGGCGTCAAAGGCGAGCGACTATTCTCTGCGATCCCGGCAAGTGGCACCAAGGGGCATAGCCTCAGACTCCAGTGTAATTACAGTAGGCTGCAACTCCGGGCAAGGTTCTTCACCAACGGGGTGATCCCACGTGATCAGATGCAACACTGTAGTGGCATTCAAGACCGCCCTGGTGTGGGTGTTGGAGAACCGTCTACCCAGAAGCGGCCTACTGATGAGTAAGAAGCTAATAAACCAATCGGACTCTATCCGGTAAGGTTTGATGTTTGCAGATATGGATGTACGCTAGAGAAAGGTGTTTTTGTTAGGTATTTTCTATGAATCCACCAGGTGCCAACATTTTACATTGTACGTCAATTCCACCAGATGTCAATGTTCAAGATCAGGGTTCTTCATACTAACCTATAGCAGCTTGGTCCAGGCCTAGACCGCTGAGTTTCATCTGTCTATTTTCAGAAACACCCCAGATGGTAACGAAGACTGAGGATTGTGAGAACTAGACCCATCAAAGGTCGATCGCTGGAATCGACAATACGCAGTGTTGAAAGCCACAAACACGCGCCAACGACACAACAATCTGGCCGCTCGATTGGCTTGAAGCCACATTTCGTCATGTGCATACAGAACTTACCTGAACTGAAAAAGAAATTTAAAATTACATCACAATATCACGCCTTTCGGGCAAAAGCTGGAACCCAGGAAACTGGCTAAAACATACAAATCTGGAAAATGCATTTTCAGGAGCCACAAATCGTGCTTTGAGAACTGAATTTGACTGAACTGCTTTTTGTTTTTCTAGGCTAACTGTACTTTAATCGTCAGTTGTGCTACGTTTGTAAGGTCGTTATGTGGCCGGTTTTGATACATTTTTATCTGTTAATTTCCCTCTCCTGGGCATTTTACATCGATATTGAGCCTAACAATGAAGAATGTTTTTTCGATCATGTAACCAAGGGTCAGAGGCTTACTTTGCATTACGAAGTTGCAGAGGGAGGATTTCTTGATATCGATGTGCAGGTGAGTTTACTCAGTGTTGTGATAAATGTTAGATATTTGGTCCTGACGGTGAAAGTGTGTACAGCGAAGTTAAGCGAACCAATGGAAGACCTTCTTTTGTTCCTCAAAAGGATGGCATAGTGAAATACTGCTTCAGCAATAAGATGAGCTCTTTGACTCCAAAGGTCGTTCTTTTCGAATTAGAGATGGAAGAAGATCATCTTAAAGCAAAGGCTGAGGATGACGGTAAGCTCATCTTTTTTGCCTATTTGCTCCAGAGCAATACAAGAGATTGGTCGATATGTTTAATGAACTGTCCCACTCCATTGAATCAGTAAAACTGGAGATGGAATATGTCACACTAAGGACAAATATTCACTGGAATAGTAAGTTCGGCTTCTTAACCAAGCATAAAGATTTGCAGTCAATCAAAATACTAATTTCAGGGTAGTTGTGTGGGCAGCTTTCGAGGCGCTATTGATCGTGGCAATGAGCATTGGACAGGTTTTCTACCTCAAACGATTTTTCGAGGTTCGTCGGCTCGTTTAATCTCAAGGAACACCCATTGGAATCTGAGGTTTACTTGTATAGGTGATAAACGCTTCGGATTTTTTGAAAAGTAAACTGCGGACTACTTAAACCGATATGTATATCTGTAATCTCTTTTGATGCTGAGACGTGGTCTTTCGGTTTCATAAAATTTCCCTCGATTAGAATGACTTTTTAATGAACCATTTTTTAGAACGAATTAAATTTCTCTCACCGGCCGAGGTCAGGGTTGAGTGCAGTTTATCTTTCACTCAGCACCGCCAATTTAACAGCTTAAGTATTGCCGGTTTACAAGTTGAACGAATACACTTTTCATTTTTCGAAGTCCTGTTCTCTAATTCTTCGGTTTTTCACCCCCATTCATAAAATTCAGTCAGTGATATAATATGCAAGTATGATATTTCAAGTGTGTGGATGAGTGAAAGGTAAAATAATCTGTTTCAATTCAGTTCACGTTAAAGTGACTGCGGCTAGTGTGGTGTGATTTAAGAGACACACCAACTGAAAAGGATATGAATGACAATTCTTCCCACCTGCAGGACGAAAGAATTTAAGGTACACGTACGTGTTTAAGCGTATTACGTACTCAACAATAGAAAGTAAATCATAACCGATCTAGAGCTAGCTTCGAAGTGGAAATCGTTTGCCTTCCTGCAACCTCTGCAGGTAGTCCATTCCATATTTACTACAATGTTGCTAAAGCTGTCTGTGTTATTGTATAAAATTTCTCATTTTTTTCCGCATTGTGCCAGTACAAAAATTATGATAACAAAATGGGCCAATATTTCGCCCTTCCAAATCGTCTAGATCAAAGCAAATGAGCTCCGTCGGCACATTGACGACCGTCACCTTCGGCTAGTTAATGTCTAACCACCAGGGTAGCTGAGGATCCCGGGCTTATAGTAGCCTCTGGTTACAGACTGATAGAACTGATCCCTTTATACTAATAGCCAAAGTCGAGTTAAAGCTTACGGCACTTTTTCGCCCGTGGAAAGTAGTGTTCGTCAGCATTGCCATCCTTTTCTATTTAATTTGGTCATAGATTTAATTGTTGAAACAGCCCTATCTTCGTGCTAGGACCGTGGCATCGTTTTACTCCCAGGTGGCAGACTGTTTGATCTAGAGTATGCAGACGACATCGTGCTGCTAGGTGAAGATCCAGGTAGGTTGCAAGCTCTTTATGGATAGTTTGAGCGCCAGCGTAGCCACGTTTGGTTTAAGTTTTGCACCTTCAGAGTGTGAAATGTTGCTACTGGGTTGGTCCAGGTTCAGCACCCAGCCTCTCTCTAACTGGGACTTAATAGAGCCAGTGGATAAGTTTTGTTACTTGGACAGCTACATTTCATCCGGTGGACGTATCCCGGATGAAATGTCAGCTCGCATACAGGAGGATTGTTTGGCATATGCTAACTGGATACATCTGTGGCGTCGGCGCGACATCCGACTGTCTGTGAAGGGTCGAGTGTAAGTCGCAGCAGTTCGGCCAGTTCTGCCACACGGAGCATAAACTTGACCATTAAAATAAACAGGATCAATTTCAGTTTGTACAACCGTGCACTGTCGTGCGCCGGCTTTGGTTGGTGTCTTTTTGCTGCCCATTTGGATGAACATGAGAGATGGACAGAAAAGTTTGAAAGTAGGATCAACGAGAAAAGTTGGGATTCCTTTGCACTTATTTTGCAGAGAAAGTGGCAAGATGCACGAACGCCACTCTTTATGATAGCTATATCACTTTGTGTCTCTAACCATCGGTGACCATCATCCCGAGGTCCCCATCCAGGGGGCCTAAAGGGACCTACATGACCCAGATTCCTGGTAAGGGTTTTCATACCCTCGTGCCAGGTCTTAGCTTGACCACTCTGGGATTTCTTCCACTCACTGCCTGCCTCGACGAACATCGCTCGCGGTGGCAGTTTATTTGGTGATATGCGTAACACATTCCCCAACCAATGTGATCTATGGAGATCGACAACTTGCTCCAGTGGGCGACTGCAGTCGGCTAAAACTCTACGCCCAACCTCAGCGTTGCTTGTCCGGTTGCCCCACCCGACTCGTGCAATGCTGCGTAGACAGCGGTGTTCAAACACCGACAGTCTATCTTTATCCTTTTTTTTAATGGCCAAGTTTCTGCGCCATATGGCAAAACTGGCCGAACTGCCGCAACATGCACTCGACCCTTCACAGACGGTTGGCTGTCGCGCCGGTGCCACAGATGTCTCAAGATGGCAAATGCCAGTCGAGCCTTCTGTATGCGAGCTGACGCTTCATCCGTGATGCGTCCGCCGAGTGAGATGTAGTTGTCCAGTAACAAAACTTATCAACTTGCTTTATTACTTCCCCAGTTAGAGTGAGGCTCGATGCTGGACCGACCCGGTCTTGTATCAGCATTTTACACTTTGAAGGTGCAAAACGCATACCGAACCTGGTTATACTAGCACTCAAATTATCCAGAAAAGCTTGCAGCTTACCTGGATCTTCACTTAGTAGCACAATGTCGTCTGCATACTCTAGGTCAGACAGTCTGCCACCCGGAAGTAAATCGATACCGTTATCCTTGCACGAGGATAGGGCTGTTTCAATAAATAAATCTATGACAAAGTTAAATAGGAAAGGAGAGAGAGGGCAGCCCTGACGAGCACCACTTTCTGTACCGAACTCGGGCGAAAAATTACCGTGGGCCTGGACTCGACTTCGGCTGTTAGTATAAAGGGATTGTAGTATTGAAATTAACTTCTCCGGCACACCCTTCAGAGAAAGACAGCGCCAGAGTTCAGAGCGGTCGACTGAGTCGAAAGCGGCTTTCAGGTCCAAGAAGACAGAGATGGGTCTACGAAAGGATTGTCGGTGCTCTAGAGTTTGGCGAAGAGTGAAGATGTGGTCGATACAACCTCCAAAAGCCTTAGTATGGTCGGGGGTGGGTGTCTAGGGTTGCGGCTGGTCACCCTGCCTTGCACCT